CTTGAAAGGCTCAGCACAGCCGCAGAATTTAATTTAAAAATTGCTCCTAGGGAACAAAACAAGGCAGAGATCCATTCCTAGAGGGATCCGACAACAGGGTTGAAAGGAAAGGCATTCCATTTAAAAGAAGCTTTCTTTTCGTTTTGTTTTGGAAAGCAATGTTAAGAGTCGGCGCCAGATCGACAGATTTTGCTGGAGGGGGCAAAAATATTCATCGCTGCCCCCTCCCCGACTTCAACACTCTGGGTAGGGGTGTGTCTCTTGCCCTTGGTGGCCACCCCAGTCCAGGAAGCAACAAGTGGCAAATGAGGCATCTGGCTGTGAACCTCGCAAGCCCTTTTGCTGCTTATGGAAGGCAGGTGGCCATGACAGGGGGGGCAGGAGAGGCTGAGAAGCTGTTCTCCAGCTTAGTTTGCGCTGGGCAGGATGTGCTGTCGGCATATGCCCAGCCAGCAAGCGGGCGAGGGAGCCCAGCCAGCTAGTCCACCAGCCCTTGCTGTTCGGAATGGACTGAAAAGTCCCCGGCCCCTGTGGACTGCCCAGAGGACTGTCAAGGAGAGGAGGATGAGAGAACAACCCACAAGGGAGGGTGTTCAAAAAAGGGCCCTGTTATGTACTGAGTTGAATAGGATCCAGAATGCAGCAGCCTGATTGGTCCTAGAACAATAGGATCCAGAATGCAGCAGTCTGATTGGTCCTAGAACAATAGGATCCAAAATGCAGCAGTCTGATTGGTCCTAGAACAATAGGATCCAAAATGCAGCAGTCTGATTGGTCCTAGAACAATAGGATACAGAATGCAGCAGTCTGATTGGTCCACAGGAACCACCCAATCCAGCTCCAGGTGGAAGTGAATCTGCAACCTGATTGGCCTATAGGAGAATCCCGAAATTAGCCAATCACGTGGGGCCCATTGTGTAAATAATGTATATAAAGCAGACATTTCGGGGGAACGCATTCCTCACTACTATGAGCTGAATAAAGAGCATGAAATTCACACTCGACTCCGAGTATATTTCAGGCCCGGAGGGGGGCAGAATGTGGTCTCCAAAGGCTGATCAATCGCCAAATGACTGATATTTGTGGAATACAGTTTATCTACATTGCAATATTGCAAACAGTTTTGCCTAACAATTAACTTGGAAGGTACTGGTTTAATAAAGCTCAAAAGGCAGGTTTGGACAATTAATGATTGGGAGTTGCTGCGCCATTAAACTTCAGATAACAGACTTGGATGACATCCCGGATCGGAATGGAGTCAGAGGAAGCTGCGCTGGTAAAAAGGCATTTGGAAAAATAAATACTAATAAAGCAGTATTCGACGGATGAAAGCATATGATGTTTGACATGGTTGAGAATCGTGGACTCAGGGATGGAGAATTGTAAAGCGTCAAAATCGAGATGTGGAAAATCTGGAAACAACAAGGAGGGGCAGAACTGAGCTGTGGAAATATGCTTCAGAGATCCAGACCGTGGGGAGCTCCGAAAAATTAATAATTATAATTTGGACTATAATTTGGTTCTTTTTTTATTTTAGTTTTTTATTTTAGTTGGAGTATTATGATTGGATATATTAATTGGATGTTTTTTATTGGAAAATCAAGAAAAATGATTTAAAAAATAAAAGGGAAAAGGGTGAGAGGCTGCCAGCTCTGCAGGCAAGGGGCTGGGGTGCCGCAGAAAGAATGTAGCTGGTCAAGGGAGCCGTGGACTCAAAAAGGTTGAAAACCTCCGATCTACATGAAACCATTGAGAGGTTGCTGGGAATTCCATGTGGATAGCGTGCTGTCGCTCTCATGTCCAGCTTGTCCGCTTCCCTTTGAGGTGTCTGGCTGGCCATTGGGAGAACAGGATCTGGAGTGGGTGGATATTTGATGCTCAGTTTGCAGCATCTCTGGATAGGACTGGGAGAAACCACTGTCTGAACCCCTGGAGAGCTGCTACCAGTCAGAGTAGACAATATTCAGCTAGATGGACCAATGGTCGGACTCAGGGGGCTGCCTTGTGCAATGAAACATTCTCCTCCTCTCTCCCAAGCACACATTCCCTAAATCTGTCCACAGTCCTCCAGAACAGATGCGAAAAAATGAGTTGAATGTATCCCAGGACAGTCATATCTTGGTAGTTGATCAACGCCTTAGTTGTCGAACAAATAGGCTCCTGGACATTGCAAACCCAGAAGTGTGCATTCTGGTTTGCGAACATTTTTTGGAAGCTGAACATCCGACACAGCTTCCATGGCTTCCGATTGGCTGCAGGAAGCTCCGGAGTCGAACAGACCCCTGGAACAGATTAAATTCGAGAACAAAGGAACGACTGCACAGTGGTACCTCAGGTTAAGTACTTGATTTGTTCTGGAGGTCCATACTTAACCTAAAACTGTTCTTAACCTGAAGCACCACTTTAGCTAATGGGGCCTCCTGCTGCTGCCGCACCGCCAGAGCACGATTTCTGTTCTCATCCTGAAGCAAAGTTCTTAACCTGAAGCACTATTTCTGGCTTAGTGGAGTCTGTAACCTGAAGCATATGTAACCAGAAGCGTATGTAACCTGAGGTACCACTGTATAACTCAACTTCCTATGTCCCTATAGTGCAGCGGTGGATTTTTGCTCACAAGTAAAAATTCTTTGCAAGAAGCCATTTTCCTACCAGTTTGGTACAATGCTACCAAAAAAGAAAAAGAACAAATGATTGTCATTGTCTCATTATTTATCTCCTTTATCTGTCCTCCTGCCTCCTCTAAGTATGTCTCCCAACTTATCTCAGGTCATCCCTGATTTTGTACTTTGGAAGCAATTGTCCTCTGTTTGCAGTTGTGGTGCAATCACTTTCTTGCACACTCAGCCCAAGCAACACAGGCAGAGGTTGCATGCGCCAGCTCAGAGCTATGGGAAGAAGCCCAGGAGTGGCGACATCCCATGCCAAGGAAGGGCATTGCTTACATCTCAGCGGAGGGCGCATTCAGACGTCCAGAATATTACATCACTTTTCCTCATTATAATGGTAGTGCTTTCTCACGTTCCTTTCACACTCATGAACCTCTTGTGTTATGGAAGTGGCTTTTTGGACTGATACACCAGCAGTTGCACTAAGTTTCATTCACACTAGTGGGCGGGTGTGACACAAGAAATAAACACCCCGGGTAGAGAACTTATCCCCCTCCATTGGAAAAGCTCTTCGAAACAAAAATGTCTTCAGTTGTGTCCAGAAAGTACAAGTACAGTGGTACCTCTAGTTAAGAACTTAATTTGTTCCAGAGGTCCATTCTTAACCTGAAACTGTTCTTAACCTGAGGTACCACTTTAGCTAATGGGGCCTCCCGCTGCTGCCGCACGGTTTCTGTTCTCATCCTGAGGTAAAGTTCTTAACCTGAGGTACTATTTCTAGGTTAGCAGAGTCTGTAACCTGAAGTGTCTGTAACCTGAAGCATCTGTAACCTGAGGTACCAACAAAGGTCAAGAAAGGTCCGTATAGTAAAAGCTATGGTTTTCCCAGTAGTGATGTGTGGAAGTGAGAGCTGGACCATAAAGAAGGCTGATCGCCGAAGAATAGATGCTTTTGAATTATGGTGCTGGAGGAGACTCTTGAGAGTCCCATGGACTGCAAGAAGATCAAACCTCTCCATTCTGAAGGAAATCAGCCCTGAGTGCTCACTGGAAGGACAGATCCTGAAGCTGAGGCTCCAATACTTTGGCCACCTCATGAGAAGAGAAGACTCCCTGGAAAAGACCCTGATGTTGGGAAAGGTGGAGGGCACAAGAAGAAGGGGATGACAGAGGACGAGATGGTTGGACAGTGTTCTCGAAGCTACTAACATGAGTTTGACCAAACTGCGGGAGGCAGTGGAAGACAGGAGTGCCTGGCGTGCTCTGGTCCATGGGGTCACGAAGAGTCGGACACGACTAAACGACTAAGCAACAACAAATAAGAACAAAAGAAGAGGTCTGTATTAAACCCACAAGCAGCATCCCATTCTCCTCTTCCTCTTTCCAGAAAATGGTACACAGAAGCATTTGCTGCTTCCAAATGTTGAGGTGGAACACAGCCATCAGGACTAGCAGTCAGCAACGCCTCTCTCCTCCATGAATTTGTCCGGTCTTCTTTCAAAGCCATCCAAGTTGGTGGCCATCACTGTGGCAGGGAGTTCCATAGTTCCCTTATAGTGTGAAGAAGTGTCTGTCATATCGCAACAGGAATTACAGAACATATTGTATTAGATGGGAGCTGGCTGTGAATACTCCATTCTTCCTATGCTTCGTCAACTCTCCCCTATATCATAACTTCGCATGCTCCTGCCCTGTGTTTTGGGATTGGAAGCATTTGCTGAGAATGAACCCCAGGGATCCGTGCAGGGCTGCCACAAGCCAAATCTTGCCTCTCTTCCAGCCCCCGTTCATTTGCAAATAGATGGCGACCTTCCTGGCTATTATGTTGTGTTCTGGATGGTGCATGTTTCAGCTCTCCCTCTGGCTGCTGGGAGATTGATGCACAGAGGGGGAAACGGAATGGTCTGGTTTAAAATGAATCATGCTTTGGCCTTCGAGAGGAGATGTGAGATGGAAGATCTTAACCCCGGCCATGTGTTAGAAAGGAATGAGCCCCTGGAACGAGCCAACGGAGTCTAATAAAAAGAGTTCTGCTGCCCTCCTCAACGCAAGTCAAGCCCGTTTCATATTATTCCTAACTCAGCAACAATTTAGCCCTTAGTTGTCCTCCCCTCTTCTTCAGATTTGTTTCCTCTTTGACACTTAGGGAAGCGGTTTCAGGGGGTGGGCGAGGAAGCAGTCGGTTTTTTTTCTTTAAAAGGGAGCAAGCAGAGGGCTGGTTTTCGGGACAGTCTTCTGCATAGCTTTTCAAATCGCTTTAGAAATCGAGAATTGCTACGATTATTCACTTTATGCACCACAGTCTCCATGCTGTAGCCCTCTTCACATTTTACGCTGACTATACTATACTCTGTCCTGGCTCCTTCATCCTACATGCATCTAACTTTTGAATGAGCCTGTGTAGAGAGATAGCTCAGTCGGTAGAGCTTACGACTCTTAATCTCAGGGTTGTGGGTTCGAGTTCCACTTTGGGCAAAAGACCTCCTGCATTGCAGGGGGTTGGACTAGATGTCCCTCGTGGTCCCTTTCAGCTCCATAATTCTCTGATCTGTAAACGGGGCTCCCTGCCTTTTCTGGGCCGGGTTGAGCTTGTGTTAAGGTCACATTCCCACCATTCATTTAAAGCACATGGCTTTCCCCAAAAGTATCCCGGGAACCATAGTTTGTTGAGGGCGTTCAAAATGGTATCCCTGTGGGGTGAACTACAGTTCCCACGATTCTTGACACATGCTTTAAATGTACGGCACAGAGGTAGCCTCAAACTGGATTTGACTTTCCTTCGCGAAGATTGCACAGAGGCCAAAAATGCAGCCGCAAGATCTGCTTTTAAATTCCACATCTGAAAAAATAAATTGGTTAAAGCCTTTCTTTGCTTCTGCCTCCTATTAGAGCCAACGGCCTACACTGGGAACTTGTAAAGCCAACTCCAACAGTGAGCCGCACATTGTAATTATTTCCTAATGTGCGGATGGCTTCGAGATCTGAGCGCCTGCTACCCAAACCTAGTTCCTTTACAGTGGTGCCTCGCAAGACGAAATTAATTCGTTCCGCAAGTTTTTTCTTCTTGCGAGTTTTTCGTCTTGCGATGCACGGTTTCCCATAGGAATGCATTGAAAATCAATTAATGCGTTCCTAGGGAAACCGACTTCAGACCAGGTCCGGGGACAGTCTGTCCCCCGACCTCTTCTGAAGGCTGGGGGGGGGGACAAGGGCTTTTCTTCCCACCCACCCCAGCATTTTAAAACCCCGGGACAGCGGAGGGCTTCTCCGCTGTCCGGGGCGATCTTAAAATGCTGGCGGGCGGCATTTAAAATTGCCCCGGGACAGCGGAGGACTTCTCCGCTGTCCGGGGCAATTTAAAGCCCCTGGGAAGGCAGGCAGGGGGACAAAGACTTTGCCCCCGCCAGCCTTCAGAAGAGGTCCTGGACCTCTTCTGAAGGTTGGCGGGGGCGAAAGTCTTTGTCCCCCCACCTGCCTTCAAAAGCGGTCCAGCCAAGGCTTCGCGGACCTCTCCGCAAGCAGCGGCAGCACTGCCGCTGCTTGCGGAGAGTTGCCGGCATGCCGACGCCTGCGCGCGCTGAGATCAGCGCGCCCAGGCTTCGCGGACCTCTCCGCGAGCAGCGGCAGCGCTGCCGCTGCTTGCGGAGAGTTGCCGGCATGCCGGAGCCTGCGCGCGCTGAGATCAGCGCGCCCAGGCTTCGCGGACCTCTCCGCGAGCAGCGGCAGCGCTGCCGCTGCTTGCGGAGAGTTGCCGGCATGCCGAAGCCTGCGCGCGCTGAGATCAGCGCGCCCAGGCTTCGCGGACCTCTCCGCGAGCAGCGGCAGCGCTGCCGCTGCTTGCGGAGAGTTGCCGGCATGCCGAAGCCTGCGCGCGCTGAGATCAGCGCGCCCAGGCTCGCGGACCTCTCCGCGAGCAGCGGCAGCGCTGCCGCTGCTTGCGGAGAGTTGCCGGCATGCCGAAGCCTGCGCGCGCTGAGATCAGCGCGCCCAGGCTTCGCGGACCTCTCCGCGAGCAGCGGCAGCGCGGCCGCTGCTTGCGGAGCGTTGCCGGCATGCCGAAGCCTGCGCGCGCTGAGAGCCGCGCGCCCAGGCTTCGCGGACCTCTCCGCGAGCAGCGGCAGCGCTGCCGCTGCTTGCGGAGAGTTGCCGGCATGCCGGAGCCTGCGCGCGCTGAGATCAGCGCGCCCAGGCTTCGCGGCCCTCTCCGGGAGCAGCGGCAGCGCTGCCGCTGCTTGCGGATAGTTGCCGGCATGCCGAAGCCTGCGCGGTCTGAGATAAGCGCGCCCAGGCTTCGCGGACCTCTCCGCGAGCAGCGGCAGCGCTGCCGCTGCTTGCGGAGAGTTGCCGGCATGCCGAAGCCTGCGCACGCTGAGATCAGCGCGCCCAGGCTTCGCGGACCTCTCCTGCCTTCAAAAGCAGTCCGGGATAGCAGGGAAGCGCTTCCCGCTATCCCGGACGGCTTTTAAAATGCTGGCGGTGGGGAGCAAAGCCTTTCGGCCCCCGCCAGCCTTCCTGGACCTCTTCTGAAGGCCGGAGGGGGGGGGAAGGCTTTGCTCCCCACCGCTAGCATTTAAAAGAGGTCCTCGGAGATTTCCCTATGGGCTTTCGTCTTGCGAAGCAAGCCCATAGGGAAATTGCTTTATGAGCGCCTCCAAAACGGAAAACCCTTTCGTCTAGCGGGTTTTCCGTCTTGCGAGGCGTTCGTCTTGCGGGGCACCACTGTATTAAAGAGCAGGCAGGCAGAGCCTCTTTTGTATCTGAGTCATCTGAGGGGAAGCAGATCCTGAGCCCGTGTGTCTGGGAGCAGGAGCAGGAATGCTGGCAGCTGTCTTATACCAAGCCGGACTGTCGACCCATCTAGTTTAGTATTGCCTACACGGACAGGCAGCAGCTCTCCAGGGTTTCAGACGGGCGTTTCTCCCAGTCCTACCTGGAGATGCCCTGGAGCTGAACCTTGGACCTTCTGCATGCCATAGATTTATATTATATGTTGCATTTATATCTCACCTTTTCCTCCATGGAGCTTAAGGTGGAGTACAAGGCTCATCCTTCCACGTTTAATCTCCACAACAACCCTGTGAGGTAGGCTGTGCTGAGAAGCAGTGACTGGCCCAAGGTTGCCCAGTCAGTTTCATGGCTGAGCAGGGATTTGAACCCTGGTCCTCATCTGGTACTCTAACCACTACACTACTCTGCCACCGAGCTGCCTCAGAGTCTCCTAATGGACTAAATGAGGGCAAATAAACCCAAGCCCAATTCTGATGGGTCAGAGATGCTGTGTGTTTAAGGTGACGCTCAACTCGTTCCATACGGGTTGCAATCTTTCTAAAGATGAAGTTTACAGCCTGGAGGTGCTCATAGAGGAAGTTAACCCCGGACTCAGCTATTCAGCTGCAAATAAAACGTTTTAAGGTGAATATGCAAATGTGACACTAGATGGCGAGAGTGAGCTATGCAAAATTCAATGTATTTTCCAAAAAGTTTTTTTAAAGCAATTTTACAGCGTTTTTTATATGTGTGTAGATTCCACCCCTTTGTGTGTGGGGGTGGGGCTGTGACTTCCATGTTTTAGACTGCAAATGCCATAATGGCTTTATACAAGTCTATGGCGCTGCCACACTTGGAATACATTTTTGGCCATCTGTCACGGGTGCTTCGGTTGAGATTCCTGCATGGCAGTGGGTTGGGCTGGATGACCCCTGGGGGTCCCTTCTAACCCTGCAATTCTGTGATTCTACAACTGTGTCTCATTCTGATTGCTACCCCTCAAAAAGGCAATTGTGGTGCTGAAAAGGGTTCTGAAAATGGCACGGGGGTGGAGCAACTCTCTTAGGAGGAAAGGTTGCATTTAGGGGTTTTTAGTAGGCGGGAGACAAACCTAGACAGCATCTTAAAAAGTAGAGACATCACCTTGCCAACAAAGGTCCGTATAGTAAAAGCTATGGTTTTCCCAGTAGTAATGTATGGAAGTGACAGCTGGACCATAAAGAAGGCTGATCGCCGAAGAATTGATGCTTTTGAATTCTGGTGCTCGAAGAGACTCTTGAGAGTCCCATGGACTGCAAGAAGATCAAACCTCTCCATTCTGAAGGAAATCAGCCCTGAGTGCTCACTGGAAGGACAGATCGTGAAGCTGAGGCTCCAGTACTTTGGCCACCTCATGAGAAGAGAAGACTCCCTGGAAAAGACCCTGATGTTGGGAAAGATGGAGGGCACAAGGAGAAGAGGATGTCAGAGGACGAGATGGTTGGATAGTGTTCTCGAAGCTACCAGCATGAGTTTGACCAAACTGCGGGAGGCAGTGGAAGACAGGAGTGCCTGTCGTTCTCTGGTCCATGGGGTCACGAAGAGTCGGACACGACTAAACGACTAAACAACAACAGCAGGGGGGGGGGGGAAGTAAGCGATTCCCTTTAGACGCATGATGGAGATGTAAAATTACCCATTGTGTGGAGAAAGTGGTTAGAAAAATTCTCCCCCCACAAAATGGAACCCAGAACCATTCAGTGAAGCTGAGGAGATTCAGGACTGGCAAAAGGGCAGGATTTATTCAGAGAGCACGTAGTGAACCATGGAGTTTGCAGTCAGAGCTTGCACAGCTTTAAAAAAGGGATCAGACACGTTAACGGAGGAGAAAGCTATCAATTCCTCGGGGATAGAAATTCAACAAATAGGCAGATGAAAATGATGGACTACATGGAATTGGCGGAAATGACTGGCAGAATCCGTGACCAGGGAGAAGAGTCGGTGGAAGAAGATTGGAAGAAATTCAAAGATTATTTACAGAAATCTTGCAAAATTAATGAATGTTAGAGTGATGTTGGATTGAAGTTAAGTGGCTTCTAGCTGTACAGGCACAAAAAAAAACAAAAAAAATGGAAAAATTGGTTTTTAATATGTAAAAGGTAAAATTTAAAGTTATAATATATCAAGATTAAGGATTAGGATTAAAAAGGTTAAAAGAAGGGAAAAATTAGTTTTTATTAGGTAAAAATTTAATGTTATAATATATTAAGATTAAAGATTGGGATTAAAAAGGAGGGAAAGAAATTGCTGGACTAACAAACTGAATTGGAATACAAAAGAGGGAGGTATGAGGAGGTCCGGGAAACAAGTAAATGTAAAAGAAGTGAGGAAAAGACGGAATTGTTTTTAACTGTTTTTTCTTTTTCTTTTTGTATTTGGTATTGTGTATTTTTCTTTTTATTCTTAAATTCTTCTTTTTTATTAATGTGATTCTTTTCTTGTGAAACTTTAATAAATATCATTAAAAAAAAAGAAATTCAACAAATAATAAACAAATAAATGTGTGCAAGCAGACTGTCAGCTGAGCGTAGAGTGGCCTTCCTGCTGAAGAAATTAGGGTGTGCATTACAGTGGTACCTTGGGTTACATATGCTTCAGGTTACAGATGCTTCAGGTTACGGACTCTGCTAGCCCAGAAATAGTACCTCGGGTTAAGAACTTTGCTTCAGGATGAGAACAGAAATCGTGCGGAGGCAGCGGGAGGCCCCATTAGCTAAAGTGGTGCTTCAGGTTAAGAACAGTTTCAGGTTAAGAATGGACCTCCGGAACGAATTAAGTACTTAACCCAAGGTACCGCTGTATTTTTAAGGGGTACAGGGTACGTCTTGCTTGGTGTGCAGCTTCACAACCCCCAAAGCTTCTCAGATGAAAATAGCAACACTTGTGTATTCACACCATTCCTAGCCTGACTGACTGAGACTGCCTTGCCTTCTTCACCACACATGGCTGCAGGCTGTTCTCAGCTTGCTGTATCTACACTGTATGTGTTTATTTGCTCTGCAGTGCTTCGGAAGCAGACTGCGCTAGTAAACTGGGATAATAAACTCACATTTAAATAATAAAATCAGGGGCGCTTAATGGAATGCAAGCTCGCAGCCAGATTTATCCCAAAGTGTGTATATGCGCCATACATTTAAAGCACATGGCTTCGCTGCAAAGAACCCAGGGAACTGTAGTTTTCATCTATCAGAGCTACAATTCCCAACATCCTTTTAAAAACTACAGCAGTTCCTGGGACTCTGGGGCATGTGCTTCGAGGAATATTCTTTTTTGAAAAAAAACCAACAACAACTGTAACCCGCCCATCTGACTAAATAGAAAGGATTGTAAGCTGTTCTTATATGCAATGACGGCAGCAAGAATATTATTGGCACAAAAATGGAAGCAAGAAGAATTACCAACGAAAGAAGATTGGAGGATGAAATTGATGGACTATGCAGAATTAGACAAACTAACAGGAAGAATTTGAAACCGGCGGGACCAGAGATTCACAGAAGACTGATGTAAATTTACGGACTATTTGAAAAGTAATTGTGATGATCAGATTACATTTGTAGGTTTGCAAGAAGTTTTGTGAGGTGAATAATTTGAATTATTGCATAATTGGATAAAAAGGAAGATGTTAGTTAAGGTAATTAAAGGCAATATGAATTTAAGAAATGCAGAAGAAATTATAAAAATGGGGTATCATCAGAGGTGCTGATGGAAGTCCAAAAAGATTGTATAAGATGTAAAATTTTGTGGTATGTATGACAATTAATATGTTTTAAAATGAATTAAATCATCATCATCATCATCATCCTCTGGGGTTGCCAATACATGAAGCCTTCCAGATGTTATTGGCCAGCAACGCCCATCAACCCTGACCATTGGCCAAGGTGGCTGGGAGTGAAGGAAGTTGGGGTCCGAGAAGATCTGACAGCCATCACATTTCTGTGGGCACACCCTATCCTGCCCCCCCTCATAGTGTTAGGATATTGTTCCGTTCCACCTTACAAGGGAACAGGCATGACTGTTGTGTGTCACATGCGTGTTTACTTCCAGCACAGGCTTGCTGGGAACTTCCGTTTATATATTGCTTTTGCTCTTGCTGTTTGCTCTGAACACGAAAGGAAGCAGACATGTTTTTTCCTTTGTCCCTGAACTATGCTGAATAAGTGCTGTAAATATGCTTACACATTTCTCTGTCTGCCACTTCTGCTGTGCAAAGATTTATTCACTCTGCTGATAGAGCGTGCCGAGTCTCTAAACGTATCTGAGGCTCGTGTTGCTCTTTGATGCTGTTCCAAGGGAGACTGGTGATCACCCAGCTGCCGGCCAGCGGCTGGAGCCAGCTGGGGGCCTGTCTGATACCCCCGTCTCCCCGGCAGTATCCCAACACATAGAAGCTCACCTATGGACCATCGCTGCCACGTTGCCATGTTTCATTGGCACAAAGCATTTGCGGGTAGGGAGTGCAGCAATTCTGTCTTCCTCAAGCTGAAGGTTGGTGTTATGTACTGAAGTTCTCACCCTGGGCCAGCAGGGGGATACTGTAAATAGTTT